TCACTCACCACTTTCTATGGAACATGTAGGGTTCAAATCATCCAGGCCAAGTCTCTTATCGTGTTAGAGGGATGGTATCTTGCACCAGATTTCTTTTCCCGATGGCAAGCTGGTGTCGATCTTTCGTTCGGGTTCGTTGTTTTTACCAGTGATTGTGTTGGACGAGGCCAGCTGAACTGGTCTTCAAAGTACTTGGCTCATTGTTCATGACGACGAATTTCTGTTCCATATTTTTGCCAATCCTTTTGAGACCCGTTTTGTTTTGGTGAGTTGGTCGAGTGTTTCCTTCAAGAAAAGTCTTCTCTACCTCGCAGGCCTTCACAATCCATCTTTCAGGCCCTTGATTATCCGTCGTTCGAAGAGTCCGCGTGCGACACCGTGGTTGCCGCCGTTGTCTGGTCCCTCTGACGGTATTGAGATGTGCTGTTCTCGACGAAATCCGGTGTTCACTTAATCGACTCACGTGGCTCAGTCAGACACTCGTAACAGATGAGAGCATAGCATGTTCCACTCATTCTTCCACCAGTCTTCGTCACCAGTCAGATGAGGACCGTGTGGGGGCGAGGTTGCCCCACATGCGGAGAGCGCGAATACTGACCGGAAGGTCTGTGGTTCGAATCCGACCCCCGCTTCTCGACTTCCCCTGTCTAGGCTTGGGCAGCCTGGTAGTATCCCAGCCCTCGTGCTTCCTTCTGGTAGCATGGCAGCTAGGCAACGGAAGGGTGCTACAGCTGGACGTTTTCTTTTCGCGTGTGTGGAGTTCTGTATAGACAATTGGGTGAGGTGAACAATGGTCAACTCGACTTACCGTAAGTTTAGGCTTAAAGTACCCGGACGACAGGAGCTCTGAGAATCTGACTAATTGAAAGTCTCAGACACAGCTAAGTTTTACGGAATACGCTAGGTTGCACTATTTTCCCTCAGAATGTTCCTTGAAGCCTGCAGGTGATGAGTGGAGCTCATCTGGCACAAGTTTCCCATTCCCGGTAGCATGCAGGGCAACGACACCACAAAAAAGCGCACGAATCCTTCTCGATCCTCTGGGTTCTACCATTGGTCTCTAACTTTAACTAATTCAGACGCTTTCTTTCTTTTTTTTAACTCTGCACAGACTTTGGTTCGCTCACCGGAGTTTGTGGATGCAGCCGGACGAATGTGTACCACCCACTCGGCCAGATTCCTTGTTTGCATCACCGTTGGTTGCTCACCGGTGAAGACGGGTACGCCGGATAACTCTATACCGGCATTCGACCGTCGTACAGCTAGGATAGGTTTGGTTATCTTCTCACCCAATCCCCGACAAGCTCCTTGCGATCAGGTAATTTGCATTTTCACACGCGTCACCCCGTCATTGTATGCTTTACCGATTTGGCGAGCAGTTGCTGATGATCACTGGTGAAACAGTTCCGCATGTGTTCTAAACAGCGTTTTGAATAGGTTAAAACCTGATCAGAAGGTCCGTGTGTCTGGCTCAACCCCGGTATCGCGGCTACTCCTGTCTAGACTTGGGTAAAACGGCAGTCTCTCGACTCTTGTGCTTTATTTAGACGCACAGCAGCTATGCCCCAGACACTCTTTAGCACATGTTCTTAAGTCTAGCAACTTCATGCTTGGTTCTCGTTACAGCTGCACTCTCACTCGAATCGGGCATCTTCGATTCGAGCGTTCGAGCGGCGTTAACTTTATTCTTCCTCACAACCCTATTTATTTCCATCTATCTCAGCTGATTGAATACTTGTGTCACAGTGCGAACGGATTGGACCTCCGACCCGAACCACTCCAGTTTGATAAGCGTGAGGAAGTGGTCTTTGTTGGCATCTTCCATAACATGAAAGTCACCCGGAAAGCAGTCCTCCCCCTGCTAGTTTCTTTTCTACGAGGTGGGAAGCCGGAGAATCTTTCGGATTCGAAAAAAGAGAACGTCACTCCTTGCGATCCCGCTGTCAGTACACATAGTGTGAGTGCATAACGTACCTGAAGTAACCCATGCTGCTTGTGTATTTACGCGCCCATCTAGCAATACATCCGTTTCTCTTTTACTTTGTCTGTTTTCGCTTGATCATGTTGTTTGCACGTGTGCACAGATCTCTCACTTGTGGTCTTCAAAGTTTTTTCTATCCCACCTCACATCTTTGGAGTTCTGTGTTCACGTACCGTACTGGGGGAGAGATGGCCCCACACGCGGTGGTTAGAGCGCGAATTTACTGACCAGAAGGTCCGTGGTTCGAACCCGACCTCTGCTACTCGACTTCCTCTGCCTAGGCCTGGGCGACCTGGCAGTGTCTCAGCCTTCGTGCTTCCTTCGGGTGACATGGCAGCTAGGTACCGGAAGGGTGTTACAGCTGAGCGATTACTCTTATTATTTACCGTATGGGGGTTACCCATGGTGACCACCATCTGTGGTATGTACTGCGGCAGAAAAGTCCTTTGCCGGTTCCCTTTCGCGCGGTTGTTTAGGAGGCATCTTAAGCGCTTAAATGCATCTGGATCACAGTTTGCAGGAGATTATCCCTGGTGCTCATAAGAAAAGTGCTTCTGCTGCCTCAGTATGGTTTTTGTTTTAGGAAGCACCAGATTCGCTTATCGCTCTGATTAGTGCACATCCGTCACGGGTGTGCTCAACCCGACCGTCTGACAGGCGCAGCACTTCCGTTTACCGTCAGTTGACTCCATCCGAATCAGAAAACGCGAGTGAAAGCGTTTGAATCTAATGTCTGATGTCAGACCGGAGACTGGCACTGATCATGGCCCCCAATAGGAATGTGGCGTGAACCCATTCGATATGGATCAGGCCTAATGATTGCGTGAAGACAGGAACAGCACTATTCACGAGATAATATGTACAACCAGAAACCCTGGTGAAGTTTAGGGAAACATTACTTGGAAATGCTGAAAGCCTAGATTATCGATCGGCGCAACCAGGATACATACCGAGTGTTGATTCCCCCTGTGAATCAACGATGAACCGCGCTAGATTTCCTTGTTATCTAACTACTCCTAAATAACGTGACTTACCCGTTTATTATGACCCTGTTTTGTTTCCTTGCTGCTCCCCCTGTTTCGTCCCTGCCTAAGGTCTGCTTATCCCCCAGTAACTGATATCAATATTTCTTTGCCCGTCCGCCACTGCTTGCAATTTCGTCTCGGTTGCACCCATTTTCGAGCGTCCACTCTGATGGGAAGGCGGACCGACCGGGTATCGAACACACAATCCCTGGGCGGCGGGCGAACGCGCCATCCGCTGCACTAATCTGACACCCTAAGCGGCCTACGTACCGCACTTGTCACGTAGCCTTTGGCGAGATTTGTTTTAAACGGACGAAACCGCATAATCTGACTTGTCACGTGACACGAGCTGCCGCGTCGCGCCGCCAACCGAAAGGCAGTCCCTCACATCCCGAACGTACTGACTCCTGTGCCGTTATCTCTATACGGCCAACTCACACTGTCAGACTGCCCCCATATGTATGTTTACACATCGTTTGGTACTTACTTGTTGCTGGCTTTAGAAATCTCTGCTGCATCATTGACTATTTTCTGCTCCTGCTGATTGCATCATTATTGGTTGTACGTTTGCTTAGTTCATGATGGTTACTAGTCCGTTTGTCTGTAGAACCAGTTCCTGTCAGTCCTCAATATATCATCTGCTGCCCCACGTCTGTCTGCTCCTATTGACTACTGGCTACGAACTGCGTATGATCTAATAGCCGCAATCGTCCTATGAGATCCATAACCACCCGGATCTTACACCGAGTTTTCCGGGCGTCTTAGCAATCCTATCGATCACTGTGCCCACGTGTTTGCTCGTAACCATTCTAATACATTCAGTATGTACTGGTAGGGTAGTGGTAACACTTGTCTCGCCTACCACGTGACCTGAGTTTAACTCCTAGTATGGCCTAAAGTTTGCGCTCTGATAAACGCTTTCAAGAAAGAATTCGGGTCTACTGGTTTCCCTTTTATTGCTTACTAATGAGACTGACAGATATGGGAATGCTCAAATTAAACGGACTTGCTGGTTCTAGATGTAATGGACATCATAAGCTATTACCTCCGTTTGGTAACAAAAAAATGGACGGTCAGTGACTCAAAACGCACGCAGGGTGAATCGCACTTCTTGGGACCCCATTACCATTCGTGCACCTCCACACGCCGTTTTTAACGGGTTTGTACTTGGGTGATTGGGTTGCCTTCCACCACCGGAGTTAGTCGAATCTCAGCCATGCGGAGAGACAGGGCTCTGCAGAGGCTGTGGGATCTCCCCCTGTCCTTAGGTTTGAGTGTGTCCCTTTGTTCACTTGTTTACTTCTTAATTTTGAAACAATGTATTTGGAACAACTGTCTCAAAGGTCATAGAGGGATGATCTTAGAGGGTTTCTACTCTGTGTCCATTTCCGTTAACCGTCAGTACCATGGTTCTTCTTTCCACATTTACTTTTAGTCTGGGACGCCAAAATGCGCTCAAACCTCAATGAACTCGGATTGTTGTTGCATTTCACAAACTCTTTTGGATAATCTTCGCTCTTGGCTGGAAACTCTCAAACCAGAGGAACGCTTTGAGCTGGTCCGCAATTGCCTATCTCAGGTCGTTATTGATGATGAGGAGAAACGGGAAACGGAAATGTTTCAACCGATTGGTATCCTACCAGCTACGGTTTTACAGCAGGTAACCGAGAAGTTGTATCTCCTCTCACCGTTCGTCAGCGGAACAGTGGAGATTTCGGCGGAATTACCTCAAGTGAATGTGACTGAGGTCGATGAGGGCTGTGAATCTAAGGTCAGTCTCAACGATGTAACTGTGGTACTACTATCACCCCTATCACTATCGTCAATGAAATGTGTCTTGAACCACCCTTGGAAGAACTCTTTGATAAGAGGACGAGAACTTAATTGTGAAATACTGGAGAATTTATGCTTCTTTCTTTCTTCAAGAGTGCGGTCCTAGATCACAGATCCGTTTGGTGTTAATGCTTCCGGTGTTGTCCTGCAATTTACCTTGCTTTCAGCCGTACTTTTGCATTTCTGTTCAAATTGTAAAAGGCTGCTGATTGACTAACCCAAGATGGATGAAAGGGACTCTTGCATCATGTGATATGTGAACTTTTCTAGCACCTGCAGTCAGCGGTCTCTCATTCGCTAATTCGATGCCCACTGCACGTGACAAACTCCTGACTCTGTCTTTTGAACACTTCATTTGTGCTTCGGTCGAAAATAATCTATCAATGTTTGGTTGTTAAACACTGCTCTCAAGACAGCGGGGTCTGTCCTACCCCTCCTCATCATCATTAGCTAAAACAGACCACAACTCCTAAAATTTTTTTACAAATTCCACAACTAAATCGAAGGTGTTGCATGCCGGTTGTTCGTTGCAGATTCCTGTGGAGTCATGAGGCTCTAAGGGGGCGAGATGGCGCAAGTGATTAGAGTGCGAATTTACTGACCAGAAGGTCCGTGGTTGGAATCCGACCTCTGCCTCTCGACTTCCCCTGTCTAGGCTTGGGCAACCTGGCAGTATCCCAACCCTTGTGCTTCCTTCGGGTGGCATGGCAGCTAGGCATCGAAAGGGTGCTACAGCTGAACGCATGGGGCTGTAAGCACAGAGATGGCCACTTATGCCGTGTATTGGAAGATAGACTGCGTCAACATCATCCAGACCTTTCGCACTTTCATGATGCTGTTCCATTGAACTTTTCGGTTGCTGACTCTGTGTACTCGGTATCGAAGCCGGTGCCGTACCCAATGTGCTTTGGATATAACTAAGTTATCCTATCGACTCATCATACCACACACTGCAGCATGTCTGCACTGTAAACTGCTACACGCGGTTCTTCAAACTTAGCCGTATACCATATCAGTAGACAAGGTAACTCAGATTACAATCCATCAACCAATTTATCAGCTATAACCCGTGTACCATAGGCACAATGGTTCCAGCTGGTACTGTTTCGATCGCCAGAAAGTGTGGGACATACAGTCAAGCATTGGAGACGATGGCATGTTCAGTTACGTGTTGGAGGCGATAGCTTTGATAAACGGGCGCCACTGACTGTGTGGTTGGGTCATTTCTGCCAATGTCATTAACCATTTGTGTTAGTGTTTTCGTACTTTGTTGCCAGGTCATACACTATCCACCTCTCGGTCGCTTCCATTTAATACCGGGCTGGGCAAAAAGAGCCTTGTGTGATGCAGGTGTACTGTGGATAGGTCCCGCATACAGAATGCGCAAGCGTTAGGAAAGTGGACCATCGGGTCCAGTTGGTAGGGAGAGTAATATTAATTTCAATAATGCGTCGTTTTTCGTGAAGCAACACGTATACAAAAGATCAGTATGGGGGACGAGCGGCCAATCTGAAGACGCCCCTGGGGACCGTACATAGAGGAGAGGATTCGTCAGAATCGACGATGTTCTGTATACCTGAGGGGGGTATTCTAGGCCTAAACTCCATTCTTCAGGGAACCGCTGTTGTTCGACCTGTTTTGGTCATTTTTGCGGACAATTGTTTGGATGTTTTTTCACGATGTTGTAACAGCTGCACATAATTTCGTTGTCCATTTCACTGCTGTACGAACACTTCACCGGGTCTACCAAGATTTGCAGTGATCCTACTCCAGCAATTCCGTTCGCTTTCTGAAGGGTATTCATAGACTGTGGTTTTTTGACGCACCTTGAGGAGGGGGCAGATTGAACACCCCGGTACGGGAGCTCTGGGCACGTGCAGGCTTGATTTGATTACTCCGCGCCAGGAAATTCCGTCAAGATCCTGGTGGTCTTTCATCGAATGGCTCAAGGTGCATCCGATATTAGCATTACTGCTGCTTCTAAAGATCCACACAACGTGTTTTCTTTTTCTCACTACGGCACACCCCTCTTCGAGAAAATATCTCCAGAGGATTGCAGACTGTATGCCTGAAGAGGTGTTCCTCAGTGAGCAGTTAGTCAGCAAGAACCGTATCCTAATGTCCAAACAGCCTGTTTGAATAGAATTTTCCTGCTTGTTAGAAGTGACACTCCATACGTTTGCATCTCTCTTATCGTTGATTGAGGCATGGGGACCCTGTATATTGGTGACCGGCCTCTTCATCTAGATCGCCATAAACTTTAAATGAGATAATTCACCGTAAAAGTATGGCGACAATAGGAATGGTACTTGTTGCAAACTTGATCACTACTGACTCACCTTTAACGTTATTACCTCCGATTTATATTATAACAGCAACTGTACATGTGCTCATCAGGTTCATTCAAAAGAGTTCTCGCATGTAGCGGTTTGGTGTACCAGCTATATCTATGGAATATCTTTTTCGAAACTATAGTCTTTAACTGAATCCAGGTCGGCCACACAAACAGTTTCATTGGTGTTGTTTTTTCCTGAGGGGCAAATCAATCAGAGAATGTATCCTCTTCGTTTCTTCCGGAAGTTGACTTCCGATAAATGCTTTCCGTGGGATAGGACAAGGTTTTTCGTGGGAGTGAGCACTCTATTACCGATGAATCCCGTCTTTTCAGTAGTTTATGTTCATTCTGTATCACGGTTGCTTTTCTTTAACCTTTACTAGTTGATGTTGAATCGTGTTCACCTTGTACAGTTTGTGATTTCTGGGTATAGTGCTTGCACCAGCTGTCACGACTTTTGTGTCAGCGGTGTTTTTCCACCTTCGTCCTACAGCGGCTTCGAGACCTTCGTCATCGCCCAGCAAGATCAATCGTACTTGTGACTGATTCCTATTTTTTTCAATCTGTTTTCAGAATCTGAGTGGATTCGGTATTGTTCTAAACCGAGGGCGTCGCTTAACCCTACCGATCGGTCATGGAATCAGGTCGTACCACACCGCTGTGTCGAAACGAATCGGCAGCTCTAAGCGGGTTCACTTCCTACAGACGTCCGAAGTGGCGGACGATACATGTAGCTTGCCTGGCGGACTACCACAAAAGCCTAGTTGGTTGGAAGTGAGTTGTATTCACCTTGTTTCCCCATAAAATTACTGGCAAAGTTTTGTGCTCATTGTCATTTTGTTTAGGCTTTCCTGCCTTTTCTGTTAGAACACACATTCATTCACTCGTCAAGCAATTCGTTCCATAGGCCACCATCCTTTTCTGGAGGCACAGCCCTAAAACTGTCAACAACTGTTGCATGTTTGTAACTAGCTTTCTTGTTCAGCCATGGGATCGCACTTTCACTTTTACGGTCTTGGATTCAGACAGCCTGTTATCATATTCAGATGTCGAGGTTCTCAGATTGATTTATGTGTGCGGACAAACTGGCTTCGTGATTCCCGCTTCGATGCGCTCCACGGGTTCAACTACCGTCCATCAAAAAGGATAGTTTCCCAAAAGGTCTGAGGGGTACAGGTTGTAGGATGGTAACGGAAAGTAAAAAACGCTGAGCTAATTACCTTCGTGGCTACTTCTTGTTGCATGTGAGTGGAAACCCTTCAAGAGGTAGAACGCCACTGACCCCAATTTGGAGCTGGATTGCTTAGCTAGAGCTTCGCTGTCGTTCTGCTTCGAAGAAACACGTAGAAGAAAAGTCAAGAGTGGATTTGATCATGTACTTACCATTTGAGAGCACATGTCCTAACTCCCGAGCTGCTCCGATTTTACTGGTACTGTATTAAACCTGATCGGCAGAGGTGAGTGTCAGTGAGGTTGCTTATCGAGGCGTGCAACTGATCAGCCCGTTCCGGTTCCCTAGACTTATGGAGCCTTGAAGTCGTTGTATCGTTGCCTATGTGGGTTCCCTGATACAATCGCTGTAAATGACTTGGTATCCACTTTGATACGATACTAGTGACAACACCGTTGAAACGTCCTGGACAACCTACTACCGGGCTTCACTTTTCAAGACTCATCAGGTAGGATCCCGACTTCCATCAACCTTATTCCATACCTAATCACCAAATTCGTTGTATGTGCAGATAAGCATTCATTTGTGAACAAGATGATTTTACCGCATGACTCGACTGAAGCTCTCAGCTTATCTCTAGTTTATTCTAATTCACTTCAAACCACATGGGGTCCGTAGGTTGCTAGCTCATTCGGTGGGCCACGCTAGTCCTGAGAAGTCTGGAAGTGAAGTTGTTGCTCAGATCACTCATCAAATGCGGAACTATACTCGGAGGGCCTCAACGCGGTCAACTCGTCCCAGATTATTGAAGGCGTAATGTAATCAGTTGCTTCACGTTAGCGTCTTCTCTGTGAGGCTTTCCGTCAGTAGTTCTGGAACCAACGGGCTGATAATCTTTGTTTTTGAGACAAATTCTGAAGTGAGAAAAATTTAGAATTTTCATTGGTTTTTCTTTCAAAACAGCCAGAATACCTGAGTCGACTGCCGGCCTGGTTCCCTGAGCACCTCACGGGCAATTATTCAGACGCAGTGGAGGATGTGAGCTTCAGACTGTACCGGCGCTTATCATCTCTTCCTGGGTCTACGAGTACCAACCCACCGGATGATGGTAAACTCCGAGTGATAGACCGTGCTGAGATTGAACTCCTTCGAGCTTCGTTTGGTGAACTGGATCGATCCAGACAGTCGACAGGATCTCCAACGGAAGGTCATATTTCGCATGTGCAGGCTTCTTTTGCACCACAGGGATTAGAATGGCTTCGATCGCATCCTCAACTGCAACAGGTCAGTTTCTGATGATCCGTACTGCATGATCTGAGTTTTTCCAATTTTTCTCGATGGGCCCGTTCTCCAACCGTCACTGTGTCCACTTAATCACCCTCCTTCTCGTCAATGTGGTTCATTCGGGCCTTTTACCTAAATCTGGTGGAATCCGATCACAGTTTACATTGGTCTCCTTGAGTAGCTATGACAAGCTGTGACATTGTTTTGAATTCACCGGCGGCACCCCGACTACTACTGTCTAAGTTTGGATAACCTGGCAGTATCTCAGCCTCGTGTGCCCTTCAGGTGCAATGACAGCCAGTCAACGCAAGATTTTTGCTTTATTTTATCTGAACCAGAAAAAATGCTATCCGACCGCGATAACAGTTCAGCTACAATGGAAATTCTTGCGTTGCAAGTCGAGGAGGGTCTTGGATACTATTTGTCTTGGCAGGCGTACTCGTGCGACCCTACTTTGGTCGTGTCTGAAACCGCCCAATCAGTCAACTGTGGTCGCCCACAGCGGTTATGTGATTGGCTTTCTGGCCCCGTTGCTGTTGCTGCCCGTAAGGTTTTCAGGACTCAATACAACTTCGAATTCTTTTCTCATGCGTCTAATGTACGGCAGTGGTGCATCGGTGTTGAACACTGATGTCATGCTGTCGATGATGGTACGTAACAGCTCAGATATGCTACAACTTCGTACTCTGTGTTTTCGCTTGTCCGTGGTGTTCTCCATTAAATATATGTATATTGTCCAACAAAACAGGAGCTACAAGGCAAACGATCACGTATGTTTTTCTCCGGTTGTGCACTTATTGATTTTTCCAAGCACCCGAGTTAATGCTCGTACTCAGGTTCGTATTGTTCACTTTCCTTACACATCATGACCATTACTCATATATTGTCCCATTTTGCACGTGGCTCATCACTCACAATTTGTGCACTCTTCTGCTGCTTTTATGGCCGATATCCATCACAGCCCAGGTTTTTTCGTTACTCAACAAATGGTTTTATATCCAGCACCAACTCTGCACAGACTGTCATAGTCCCTTCTATGTCACTTGCTAGAAACCATGCACAACTCTGTACTCTTTGGCCTTAAACGATCGTAGTTTTTGATGGTTGCGGGATTTGAGCGAAAGTCACGCTCACGTGACTCTCGTTTGAACAACATCCTGCTTTTCTGGAGCAATCTTTCTAGTGAGTCCACACCAGAGGGGGGAGCACTGAACTCGACTTCCGATCTTAGCGATTGTGTCTGCTATTTCATACGCATGCGTTTGAAGCAGGAACATCGTGTGACGGTTTCAGTGTACTGTCTCTTTCCTCGAGTCGATTGTCCGGTCGGTCACGTGACTGGAATTCTACAAACGTCAGCTTTCCGATGGTGCTTTCATCCCGAGCACTGTGGTTCACATTGACTGTGTTTTGTGCTCGTGCATGTCTTTTGTGCGGCATTGATTAATTCAGTATACTGTTTTTCCCACAACACAACGTTCTCATGCGACTGAAACAACTCACATGTTTGCCGTACAGCTTTTTGGTTGAAAAAATTTGACTTTTGGTGGCGTTCCTTTTGAACAGATCGGGCTTTTTTTTAGAAAAGTTTGGTAACAATCGGTAGATTTATTGCTGGGCAACGTTTTGCTTTTGACACAAAACTTGGTTAGGCCAAGTGACTAGGTTACGAGATTGGTCGAGATTTAAGGCGGAAGAAGAACCAATCAGCCTAGTCAAGCTTAATCTCTGTTGGTTGTCAGCCGAGGGATTTTGTGTGTTAGAGTGGGTGATTAAGCGTTAGGCCGATGGGGGGACCTACATGGATTTGGGTCCAGCCCAGGGTCTAGTTCTTCTGGTTCGGTTCACGTGATGATCTCTTTTCAACGTCGTTTGCACTTTCCGTCCGTCTGTGTGAGTGAGCTACCATAGTTGTGTAAGGAAGAGGGATTCTGTGAACTTTGGTCAGGTTGGGATTCTACGTGCATTGACAGCCACACAGTCACGTGTCAACTCGGCTTATCTACGACTGCTTTCCATAGGCTCGCCAGTTCCACACCCTCGATTGTGTTCACGCTTTGGTGCTTGCTGATTTCCAGCGCCTCGGCTGTCAGCCGCTGTGGTGCGAATCACAGTCCCTGTCTTAAAATTTCCGCATTCTATGGCGGTATGTGCCACCATCACTCATTCTTTCACCAGCGTTTCGTATTCTTTTGCATTCCTTGATGGTTTGTCCATCCTCCTTTTATGCTCAACAATTCCGGTGTGCGATTTCCTGGCAGTTTGTTCTCTTCATTTAGATCGACTTGCTCAAGTTGAAAACTTTTCCTTCGATGCCCCTCAAAATCTTCGAATTCAACACGAATTCGCCCGGTGTTTTGGTTGCTGTTGCATTCACCCTGTAGTAGTATCACCCACAGTTTCACACTACGTCATTTTCATCCATTTTTGGGACAAGCGTCCCAAAAAACACGCTGATAACGCCACATGTTTGCATGATATTCTCATGGTAACCAACAGAGGACTCCAGCACAAACCCAACATTTTCGCTGACATTGACCTCAGTAATATGGAAAAGGACACGGTCAAGGTGCACAGCTGTTGGCACTTGGTGAATAGACGTTCGAACCTGTCACGAAGAGACCAAAACGCTACCGTGACGGTTTCCACACCTCTATGTAGAATTTTCAAAAATAATTGTTCAGCTGTAACACGTTTTTGGTGATAGCTGTCATGCGAAAACCTAGACGAGTCGTCGGGATCTGGTTCGAACCACAGACCTTCCAGTCGGTAGCTTTGCGCCTTAACAACTGAGCTATCTCAAGCACTCATATAATTCATTGAGCTATACTGAAGATGCCTGTGACACTCACAGAGCCTCTCATATCATTGGATACAGGTATGCCTAACAGTCTCTTGGTCCTTCAGGTTAGGGTCGGAACATGTGTGGCGACTTGCTTGTTTGAAAGCAAAGGCTGTTCTTGTGCTATTACGCCAGCCATCGCTGCATTGCAGTTAGTCTTTTGAACCAATGTTTTTGGTTGAAGACTCTGATCGTCCTCTTGTCTAAACCTGGGTGCCCTGGCGGTATCCCAACCCAGCCATGAACTGTACTTTTGCAATTAGTTTCATGTCATATCGGCTGTTGCCTAGGGTCATCAGCCGGGTCGCTTTACTTGCAGCATGCAGCTGGTCAGCTAGGAGAACTAGGAGGTAACTTTTGGCACCGCTCTCCTTCCTGTTTTACACGTTCATTCTTTTCTCGCTCCTTCCCCCATTGCTAGTGTCATTTCAGCGGGCTTATTCCTAAGGACTGACCGGTCCGCTAGCCGCCACGACCGACCGTCAGTTCACTTGGCAGCTTTTCACGTTCCACACTCATCGACTGCTCTTTTGTGTGTACTGGACTCGCTGTCTATTGAAGTTTGCTGTCTCTCTGAAATGAGGATTCAAGACCCAAATACGGAAGTTTGATCCAGACGTCGTTGTGGTTGGTTCTGCTGGGGTCAGCATTGTTCTAAGTCAGCGAGCTGAAAGGTTTTCGCTTGAGTGCTATTTCGTTGATGGTCGTTTGTTGGCAGCTGCTGTTGCAGTTCGTTTGGCAACATCTATGAGAGTATCCTGTAAACGTACCGACAACCGCGGTCTGTTCCTTGTATCTGCTTGGTTCCAACGGCTTCTAGCTCTGCCACCCTCAAAGAGTTTCTACGACACTTTGAGCACTTTGTTGTGCTGGACTAAGAGCTCATTTGAGTAGTCGTTGTGGACTATAGTCGGGACACAGGGACGACGTTTTACGGCAGTGAAGCGCTCTCTTGTAGTTTTGCAGTCAACGGAGGTGAAACATTTGAACAAACAGCCCCCCCCCCCAAAAAAAAAAAGATGGTGAAGCATTTTGACATTTCATCGCACCCTTGATGGAAATATTTTCATCTGAAACCAACTTATGCTGGCGTGACATTTGAAAAAGTGCCTGCACCAGTGATTGATTAGTTGGTATCCGGTTTGGAGTGGAGCTAGTGTACAATCAGTGCACTAGTATATCCGCTTTTAATAAGTGGAAGTGATTAGTCGATCGTGTTTGGGTGGGGTTTTCCACTCCCATACTGTAATCAATCGTTTTGTTCTCGGACAAAGTTACTCCCAAAAATGCCTGTGGTGTGGGAGAATCTATGTGTTAAAATGCATCGACGGTGATTGCTGATAATACTCACCTGCTTTGCAAGAAGGAATCGTCCATAACACACGAGGACCGTTTTTTCCCATGTTTAGGTTGTGTTTGATGGTGTCGCAATGAACTGTCCCTTGAATATTGATGGGCTACCAATTCCGTCGGAAGCATGACCTAACGTTTGTCGTTTTAAATCTAACCCATCCGGATTCGGACAACTTACTTGTGTGTAAACGTCTAGTTCGTTGACTTAGCTGTGTAAGACAGAACCAGCCCAACGGTGTGCAATCGTTCAGTGTGTTGTGAATCACGGGCAGTGTGATTTCCGAAAATTCACCGAGAGATTCGAACCCGCCACCTTTCAGATTCTAGCGTAGAACTAACGGTGAAAGGAAGAAGGTTTTCGCTGCGGAGTTGTTTATTAGAGAAACACCAACTGAACAGTTACAGGGGAGCAAAACTCTCATATGTATCTTGTTTACAAAACTTCATATCCATCTTTTCCTTGAACGCGTCTTTCTGAACTTTCCTGGATATTCATTGACCGTTCCTCAAATGCAGGCAATTGCTACAAAGCGACTCCACAAATTCCATAATAGATCTCACTTTTCAAAGGACGCGAGGCGTATTTATGAGAAAACATACTACTCGTATACCTCCTCAGTAGTATCCACCGTTACATCAGTAAATATCTAGCCAGTCCATAATGTAATGCTAATCTTTTTTTAAGCGAGGCTGGTGGCTGAATGGGGTGAGCAATCACCAGAAGTCAAATCCCCCCACTAGGTCGGCAAGCAGGTAGAACAGTGCGTATGTTGTAATTCGCACATCATAACTCCGGACATCATACCGGACCCTGTCCACGCCAGTCCAACGAACCATAATCGGCGCACGAATCCTCCTCTGATTGAGGTTTAAGAGAGCCGACTCTGGATATTCACTGACTGTTACTCGATTGCAAGCAATTGCTACAGAGCGACTCGACAAATTCCGTAATAGATCTTATTTTTCAAGAGACGCAAAGCGGATTTATGAGAAAACATACTACTCGTATACCTCCTCAGTAGTATCCACCGTTACATCAGTAAATATCTAGCCAGTCCATAATGTAATGCTAATCTTTTTTTAAGCGAGGCTGGTGGCTGAATGGGGTGAGCAATCACCAGAAGTCAAATCCCCCCACTAGGTCGGCAAGCAGGTAGAACAGTGCGTATGTTGTAATTCGCACATCATAACTCCGGACATCATACCGGACCCTGTCCACGCCAGTCCAACGAACCATAATCGGCGCACGAATCCTCCTCTGATTGAGGTTTAAGAGAGCCGACTACATCTTTACTTGAACGATTCTAATACGCATTACATCCACCATTTTCGTTAGCTTGTACCTGTGTCGTAATCCGACATAGTTATGTGTCAGGGTCACATAGCTGTGACGTGAAACTCACTGTTGACCTTCTGGTTGCCACTGTCCAGGCATGATAATCCTGGCTTCGGATTGTGTGGTAGCTATGCATCGAAGTAATGCTACAGCTGAGTGATTTTATTTCTTATTGCTTGTAAGGTTGTGAACCGTCTCCGACTTGGGGCACTAGATAGACTGCAGTCGGTCTGTTCGAGAAAACTGGTCAACGGAATTCTACGTCCTGGGTTTCCCGTATCTCTTTCTTAACTCGTCCGGTGTGGAAGTACGATAAAGCCTCTTACTATGCGGCTCTCTTTGCGACCAGATGTCTTAAGGAACCGCTTTTAGTCGACCTCTTGTTATACCACGTGCACAGCAATTGCGTCGAAATTTTTGGCATAAATATTGAACACCGCCGCTTCGCTACCATGCGTTTGGACGCCCATTCATAGAAACTGACGACAAGAATACCACTGGCGTTGATAAACAGCCATATCTTGCAGCCTCATGCGGATTATACCCAAGAAGACGTGTCAGACGTTTCTTAGCTGCTTAGGTCGGAGGTCGGCAAACTTTCTGCACTGAACTAGCTACAGAAGATGGCTTGGGCACATTTGCTCCCAGTTCACCAACTGTGCTATACCTTACTTAGCACTAAAGGACGAACGTAAATTCTTTGTTGCATGCATACACACCTCTACGAAAGTGCTCCCAGTCACAACAATCCCTGCGGCTTCCGTGCATCTTGGACGACCGTTTTCGATCTTTCCCATTGGTGACCATTGTTCACAAAAGTCATTAGCGGGTCACATTGAATGCCAATCCAGTGTTGTATTCTTTTTGGGAAGATTATTTGTTGAGGGTTTGGGCTGTGATCAACACTTC